AAGACACATATTCTGCTGACTAGCAAAGAACCTGTATAAAGACGGTGCAGCATTAAAAACTCAAAAGGGGACACATCCTGTAGCCCTTTCTCACATGCACTATATGAAACATGAACCTGTATAAAGGAATAAAGTCCCTGACTGCCTTGGTGATTCATCATCATCACGGGGGAAATGATCAGTTTACACAAAACGGAGGACATTATAGACTTGACGACAGGTGTCAAAGCTTAGAAGGATTGATGAGGAGGGCAGGGAATGTCCAATCTGAGTACTGTGAAACTTAAACACCCGACTGGGTGGTCTTCGATGATGATGGCGATGGATGATGGCACTTGATGAAATTTCCTCCCATGATTCCGAACTGTATTTGACATTTTGGTGGGGGCTGAGGTGGGCATTCACACGATCACGTGTGAAGCGTCCGAAAAGTGGTCCTCTCACAATGCAATGGGAGAACAGAGGCCCATGATCCGGTTGTTAGATAACAAATGTACGCGTGAAATGTCCACGGTGTTCCAGAATTGATATAGTACATAGTCAATCATCTATAAACGAGAATGGGTTCCTTCGGGATACATAGTTAAGGGTAACGAATTCCCTGAACGTTTTATTGGGTAAAGTGAAAATGACTACAGAAAAATGTTTTGGGGCAGTTACGGTGATTCAAAACTGCATCGCTACCGCAAAGTTGTTTTCTAAGGAGTAACCAGTAAAGGCGGCATGACACAGGCATCCGTGTTACCAAAATCATTGATACCTTTCCTGGCTATTCAAAATAGATCAGGTCTGCATTCGGTACAGTGATCGAGCTACTCACCATGAGGCAACTGATGGGGTTAGTAAAGATTACTGCATTCTTAAAACGGTCAGTTTGAATACTGTCTGCCATCTGACTGAGCCAACTTTTCTTAGTTAACCTTTGGGTTTCAGCCTAGCCGCGTTGGGCGGGTGTTTTGTAATCATCGGTCTTCCTGTCCACCAATCGAAGGTCAAAGCTGATTGGAAGCGAAATGTCACGACCTCTTGTGCAATTGCGCTTGAATGCTTTGTATAAAGTGTGCACGCACGCACGCAAACACACACACACACACACGCACACAATAAACTTGATAATGGAGTCCATGCGCACTGGAAACATGATCCGCCAGCCCGGTGTGTGTTCGTGTGTACAAATGGTTAGGCAAGAACGAAGAGGTCCACGAACAAAGCATTGCGTCATGTTCAATGTGGAATGTGAACACAAGCTCCATGTGTACTTCTCGCCCGGCATGTCATCATCTCATCGGATTGTAGGCGGTTGTCGGCACGTGAACGCGTATTCAATGTCAGTGCTGACGGGAGTGATATTCGATACCCTGATTTGGGGATCCCAGATCAACAAAAATCGGTCAGCAGATTGTGGATGAACGGATGCCTCTATGGGATGATGTTGTGGGTGGGTGGGGAGGGAGGGAGGCTGAAGGTGGGGTGGCATGCTCTCGAGGAAAGATGGCCACCGGTTAATGTACTGGATTTGGACACTTCCGGCGGGAATGAAAAATTGTCGAGTATGAATAGCCAACTTCAGTTTAGTATCTTTTCAAAAGTATCATGATGAATATTTCCTATCAGCGCGGATCGATCGCGCTCTGCTTGTGTGTATGGCTGTGAATGTATGCCCCTCTCTCTCCTACAGCGCGAGTATGCGCCAGTGCAACGGTTACGAGTTAAACAGCCGAGGTATTTTCCCATTTACTTTGATTTCCCCATAAGGCTCAGGGTCAGTGGGCAATGAAGTAACTAGCCGTTTAGGGAACACACTCATTGAGTAGATAGTTCAGAGCTGTTTTCCAGTTGGAAAGAATGGAGATCAGCAAAAAGACGAAAACAGTCGATATGTTGTGGGAGGACGCCTCTACAAGTCATAAATATGACCTCATGTTTCCATATAGCCCAATTAAGAATGACAGTACTACTAATATGCGGTATTTCAGTAGACAAAAATAAAAATAACCAAGATCACGCCAGTGGACGTCTGTTTGCAGACCAGGCTAAAACGAAGTTCACTGGAATCAACGGAGGCAACACTTACCAAGAAGTAGCGTTCCACAACAGAAAAGATAAAACAATAATCAGTTCAACAGATCTGGACCCCAAATGAAGTAAGAGAAATGAAAAAAACGTGAATAAATGAAACAATATTATCTAATACGGCGATACAGTGGAAACATAAATCGATCGTTTTGAACCGTAGAGATTGAGAGACGAATAAAACGGAAGAAATGAAAAGGAGGGAGCTACGGCAGCATGAACCACAAAATTGGCAATGTTTCTCTCTCTCTCTCTCTCTCTGTTTCATCCAATGGCTTCAGGCTTCCGGATGATAAGACTGATATCGCTTTGGACGAGGAGGAAGAGGAGGAGAATTGTTTGAATAAACAGTGTGTTCTCATGCACAATGACGGTGTTGATGGTGTCCAGTCCTGGCCGGTCTCATTTTGCTATACTATTCACCATGAGCACAGTGACAGTGATGACGGTGACGATGACGGGGGAATAATTCCAACATAGGTAGGTGTAGGCTTCAACAAAAAGCTTGTCTACATAACCTTTAGTATAGACGTAATAAAGCAAACCAGTGGACAACGGAAGCCACAAACCACTGATAGTTCCCGGTCCCACAAATGCGTGGGTAGGGGGCGGGGGCGGGGGCGGGGGGAAGGAAGATGTACGCAATCAGTGACCTGTGATCAGCTATTCGCTCTGAAGATGAAAATATGAGATGTACACCTATTTCGCGCACAGATGTGATGCGCGTGTAGTGGAGGCGCGAGGAGGAGCGGAAAACTTACCGAATGGGACTTTTCCCTTCATTTTCCATTCTGGAGAAATATGACCAGATCAGAGAAAGAAAGAAAGAAAGAAGTGAAAAAAATGGAGAATAGTGAGACGTGTGCGTGGAGCGCAGGAATAGAGATAAGAGTTGGATGGCAATCTCGAATCACTGATGGATCCAGATACGAAGGATTTTCTGGGCGTTGTTCCCCTTACCTCAATATGTCAGAACGTATTTGATGAAGAATATCGCCAATCCGAATGCTGCTATCCCTTTTCTTTTGGTTCGTCTCTCTTAGAGTGAAGTTAAGGGACGCAGCTAACCTTATATCGATTGCTATGCTCAATGACGATGGTACCTAGTTTGAAATCAGTGATCGTTTCTCAACCCCAATGTTTTGTTTATTCTTACGATGTGAAATCCTGGAGGAACTTTTGTGAAGTTCAATCGATTTACTCCATTTCCATTGGAAACTTTACAAAACCCGATGTGGTTGTGTTGCTAGAAGTCACGCATCAAACCATTGTTTGTCATGGTGTGTAAAGATTATTTGATAGGAATAGCACTAAACTGGCACATATTCACGTTCCTTGGAGCATATTCAAGTTTTCCGATGTTCATTATTTTGTTCAACTCTCATCGATAGATTCAACAACCGGAGTTGTGCATCGGCAGCCACACTGCGGCCAAAAACGCTTAACAGGCGACCTAAATCAGGTCGAGGGTAACCGAGACTGAAATGGTTTCTTTTTTGAATAAAACAAGTAACACAATGCGAGCAGAATGGATATTGGTAGACAGCTGATTGAGAGCACGCGAAGTTAACGACCAATATAAACTATGCGCATATTACGTTACTTGGTTTATCCAAATGGATTTGTCCGATACTTCAGAGGTTTCTTTCTTGCCCTGCCACATTGCGCTGCTTATCAGCTCTTGCGACCTAGTGGTACGGTTTACCTCCTTATATCGAGGTTTTCACAGAAACCAATTGTATGAATACCTTGCAATTCATGCCGCATGATTTATTAAAATGTACCTATGAAAAAGAGCACGACCGTTATCACACGTTTCAAAAGAGTCACGATTAAAATGTAGAAAAAAATAAACTTGGTGATGATTTGATTAGACTCGTTGCATTTGATTTATGAATTCCATTACATTCCAAAAACAGTTCTTTTTGGAGATTTGGTTTACTAATAAAATATGTGGTGATACGAGTTCCGCTTCTGACCCCGGGTACATTGTGGTAGGTGAGTTCTATCGGTCAGAAGTCCTGAGCACTATGAGACAGGTGAAGGTCACGAATTGTGCGAGAGAACATGGTGACATCACGGAACAAATCGATACTTTTTCGCCCTCCTTTGAAGTGCGTCTGATATTTATGAAGCTGCAGCTTTCCTTCTTTAAAGCGTTCCGATTACAGGTGGGGGGGGGGGGATCACACACAAAATCTCTTAATTTATCTAACGAACTGATGGTTGTGAGTAAATTATATGAATAACGCGGTGGCGTTTTGGGTCGATCGGTAAAGATCACAAGTTCATCGCTCCAGATCGTCATCATCGTCTGAGATTTTCACACACGAATGTATCCTGACAGGCTTTAGTTGATTGCAGTCAGAATACTAAAAATCGAGTGCAAAATCATGGTGCATCAAATTAAGGGTGATAATTAAGAAGCACACATTTGTCTAACGTGGACACATATAACCATGAAGATTAGCATTAGCACATGTCGTACTGGATGCAAACAATTACTTCGATTTGTATAATTCTATTCCTATCAGAGAACGTGGGGCAAAAACAAATCGCTAACTTGGCGTCTTGACCAGCTATTGATTGCGAACGGAGCGACACGAGCCCGGTCATCTCGGACCATGTGATGACTCTCTCCACACGACTCTGACTATATGACATCTCCTGCATGGATTACTTTGCCGTATGTGCTCTATTATGCTTTCCACATATCCGTACAATGAAATAAAAGTGTGTGTGGGGGGGGTATATTTGTGTGTGTGCGAGAGAGTTCATTCACCATTCACAATCACAATTTTTCTATGTGAATACGGTCTCTTTTTCTCTCTTCATATCTCGTTCAGAGAGTCATCTTGCTCTAAAAAAATGAAACCTATAGACAGTTGAGGACGGAACATCGCCGATTGTGACAGATTATAACGGACATTATGGATTGTGTATCTTTTTCTCTCACTCATGTGTGTGTGTGTGTGTGCGTGTGCGTGGATCAGCCACTAGGTTAGAAAACCGATACATGAATGTTGCGACAAGGACAAATAAACAGGAAACGGGACAACGCATACAAATGGAGCCAATAACGGAAACACGAATGGGGTTAATGGAAGCAAATACGCTTAATCATCCAATCTGTATGTTTCATATATCCACCCATTCACCCACCATTCACACGTGCACATATTCGTCTTTTGTAACGTGAGCATAAAGCAGCGTTTGATACCGCGCAACACATTGTGCTCCACCCGGGATACTTACCCAAATCGAAGTCTGCCGAGGTTAGTTGAGTTGGCGGGGATTCGAGGACCGAATTGATGGTATCGTCTGCGCGACAGCGACACTTGTACTGACCGTAATAATAATGAGCTGAGCGTGGTGGACAGAGAGACAGTGGGAGTGTAAGTAGGTGGTGCGGTGAGATGAAAAAGTAGTGAAAATCGATGAAAATTGAAAGTGAAAGTGAATTGAATTTACCGCCTAAGATGAGTAGACTAATATTCATCAGTATGAAATCAGACGGGAGTCGTTCGTTTTATGCAATAGGCTCCTGGAAGTTCGAGACATATTGATTAAATGTAAAGGGATATGGATGCAAAAATGATGAGAACAAATAGCATGATGGTGAGCTTAATCGAATGGAAAACAAATTGTTTTATTCATTAACCGAATTAAGGGCAAAATGAAACAAGTACAACCGTGGTATAAAATAATTAAGATCACTGTAAATCCATACAAATGTATAAATACACTTGTGGATACATAACTGGTAAGTCTGGGGGATCCAGATTGTCGAAATAAAGAAGAGAGAAGAAAAAATAGCCGGGTGAGCGTATAGAGAACCCAATGAGTGCATAGGCAGCCCTGTCTGATCCTCGCTCTCTCAGAACATAGAATAGAACATAGCCATAAATTAGCGATTTTATTTTTTGCTTGAGACTTTCAATAACAGAACAGGGAATATCTGAAAAAAATCAAACAAGGACCAAACTCAATTTAAAGGGCATTCAATTATGGAAATGTCCGACCGAATTTTGAGTGATCAGATATCACATTCATACTAGCGATTCCAACAATCACTTACGATCAGATGGTGCGTTTTGTCATGTACAAAACAAATGAATTANATGAATTATGAACTGAATTTGCTAGAAAACACTGGACAGCTGTTTCGACCTGATCGGGCCTCATATACAGTGCGCGAATCCATCAAACCAACAGGGGATCTAACTGGAGACCTCACAGGCAGAATGCAAGCATTCTACTCACTTGGCCGCCGGAGGGCTGATCAGACTGTACCGTTTTTTCCTTATATGCACGATACAACACAGCCCGTCTTTGTGAGCTTAATGCTGGCATCTCACCTTGCACATGTCAGCACCAGCATTCCCATTTCCTCTTCACTTGTTCTGTACACGACAGCAGTTACCATTTTTCCTATGTAGACAGAATATTTTAGGCATTCGTATAATGGCAATGTTAATCGATCGTAACGCCGCTGTGAAAACTCTGCAAACTTCCAATCAAAGGGACATACATATCACATCAATTTCCCCAAATTTTTGTCTCTGTTCGATAAGCAGGATACAATGCCAATGGGAATAAATCTATTTGGATAATAAACACTACCTCATGATGCCAGTATTATGCTTTTCAACTACCTCCACCAATTTTCATTCGATTAGTCTAACCAGTTCAAACTGCCTACCTCTTCGCTGTGTTAGTTAATTACTCAGTGAACGTAACTCACTTTTTTTCTACACTGAATGCAATTTTTACCTCTCCGGGTTGGTCTTCTTTGTTTGGAGTGTCAGTTAGGCACTAGATGCTGAACAAAATCTATATGGTGACGGGCTATATCCCAAGTTATCCTGCCTGATTGATTACCAATGGCCTTTCAGTTACGGTCAAGTGAGCTGCCTTTTGTTTGTACCGTTTGGCACATACAGACTTGATTCACAAAGCTATTATTTTCATTTCTTTATGAGGTTGACGTGCGATGTCGCTGGGATCTTTTAATAGTTAGCAGTGCATGAGAATGACGAATTGGATCAATCGTCATATCCACTTCCTGGCGTTTATTCGCACGTCAATTCCGCTCAAGTGGGGT